ACATAGGAATCAAAATTGTCTAAATCATCAAGTTACTCCATATTTTTCATTTGTTAAAAATATTTATGGATAATCACTGTCTAAGATGTAATTTTAGTTTGATTGACAATTAATATAGTAAGTTCATACTGTCATGTAAACACTTTTATTAAGTATTACTGACATTTACTTACAATAAATAATATTTCATAAACACTCTCTCAAGTGTTTATATATATATTAGCAGTGTAATTAACATATCATATATTAATTAAGAATATATTAAGATAGTTCATATAAAATTTTAAGGGAAAAGAAAGCAAAGGTGTTTGAATATGTAAAGAAGATGCAAGAAAGAAGGTGATATGAGAGAGAGTGAAGCAGAGCTGTCAATCGGAGAGCTGAGAGCTTCGTACAAACGTCCATGTGGAAAAGAGGCGTCAGAGGCCTATCATTGTCTCAATTATAAGCACGAGGGAGAGAGTGTACCTTAGTATCTCTACATCAACATGCATATTACACATATCATATCAAAATCAGCATCATATATTTATTATTCAAAAATAACACTTAATAAAATTCAGAACAATAGTTGCAAGAGAAATCAAAATTGTATATAAATATCATTACTCATATAATAATATGGTCGTTGTGGGAACGCGTCGATCTTTATTCCCTCAGCTAGCATACAAAACCTGTCCAATTTGTGCTGCTGATACATCGTTATTCGTTTGACCAAAAATAATATACACATCGATATTCGCTATTTTAAGTTTAATGGACTTTGATTTTAAATAATTATTAAGATTTTATCATTTAAGTTTATTTCATCCTAATTGTATGCTTTGTTCTAGATATAAAATTGTATTCGATTTCTTGTCACGCTTTTATCACTTTAAATTGTTCTCAAGTTCTTATGTCAACCAAAATCTACTGGATTACTCGTTCATGTTCAATCTAATTCAACATTTGCATATAATATAGAGTACAAAAGCTCATCCTTACCAACTAATGATTAATAATTGATTTTATTTGAATTAAAACCTTATTATATACACACACATAAAAATTCACTGAAAGAGATAATTTTATTACATTATAAATACTTTTATTTTAAACAAACATGCTTTTATAGAAGTTGCTTCTAATCTTAAAAAAGGATAAGGGCTTAACTTGTTGAAATAGATTTCAGACTCAAATTCTATGGTACTTCACTTTAATTTCTTATCTTGAAACGAAAAGATAAAGACCATAACGTTAGATGATGGTTACGTGTAGGTGATGTGTCAAGAATAACGAAGGAACCAGCCCTATTTATATAACAACTTTTATGACTTTTTATTATATTAATTATTTTATCTTATAATTTTTATCTCGTTTTCCTATCTTTCATGTTCTGTAAAAAAAAATATTAAAATATGCGGAAAAAAAATTCTCTTGTTAAAAAGCTTGCATTAGTTTTATGTTAAAATTTTAGACCAACATTAAAAGATTTGTTTACATTTAATTTTGTCTGATATGGTATTTAACAACTTAAAAAAGAAAAAGCAAACACAGAGTTCAAGATAAATTCTTTGGGTGTTGAATTAAGCTAATTAACAAAAGACTGTGCCTCCAATTTCCTAAAGAGGTTATTTTACTCTTTCACACGTTTTCCCAAAGTAATGATTTTCACTGTTTGAAATTTCTTGTATTAAACCTGTCATTGATTTCCTATGCTGAGTTGAAGGAAAGCTGCGATCACAGTGAACACGAAAATGGCTGCATACAGAGGCTGCTGCTATCTGGCCATAATTGTCATATTTATGTGAAAATCAGGTGTTACGCACGTGCATCCCAAAATTCGCATAGCCATAGCAAAAAGGCACGTTTAGTATCGTAGCAAGGGAGGGAAAAGAAAAGCATGTTTCGAATTGATTAATCCAAGAAAATGGAACATTTTTTGTTCTTTTTTTATGTATAAACTTTTACAGAAAAGGATTAAGATAATTGTAAGTGAGATTTCTTTTACGATATAAAGGAAAATAAAAGAAAAAATTATTTTAAAAAAGAAAGGAAGCGGAAGGCTTATTTATTAGGAAAATAAAAGATTAATTCAATTATTTAAATAATACTAAATTTATATTATTATTATTTTATTTGAACTTATTTTTGCCATGTCAATCAACATTAAGTTTACGTGCAATGTAATTTTTTAAAAAAAAAGTATTACCTTTTTGCAAGGAATGAAATTACTAAAGTATATTAGTCAAAATTAGTTTTGCATGTATAAGGGGTGAGCCTCAGGCATACCCTTGGACTCTATTATGTGTTAATACAAGAGTAAATATTGCCTCATGCATAGGGATACATGTTAAAAGAATATAAATACTTTGTTGGACTAATATCATTTTAAAGGATATATAAGTCTGAAGGCTCACTCTAAAATTAGGTAAGACATTTTAGATTAAAAAAATTCTCAAACTATTTTTTTTACAATGAGATATTTAATTTATTTATTTATTTTATCTTTCATTGATATATTTTATTAATAATCATAAAAACATTTCATTGGAATTTCATATTAATTTAACATATCATTGATTAAAAATTAATATTGACTTTTATAATTCCTTCAAATAAATTTTAGTTGAATAATTTAAAGAACATTAATTATGAATATGGAACTTTAATTTTTTGCCACTTATTGTGTGTTGGACAAATGTACATGTCAATAAATGATAAAATTGATTATTTATAACTTTTAAGTATTATTTCAAAAAAGTTATTCAACAATTATTAAGAGAATTAATTTCTTAATTATTTAGATAGTCATGATGTTATATAAATTAAAAAGAAAACAATGAATAAAAAAAGAAATTACATAAAAATTAATATTTACAAAAGTAATAATAATATTTTTCCTATAGTTCTTCCCCTTTTTCCATTTCTTCAACATGTGAAGTAGTGGCTTAAGGTGCACCTTTAAAAGCAGGTAAGTGTTTAGAAAAGCCTGAAAAAATAAACACCCAAAAAGGAACAATTGATTAGAAGGAGAAATAGTAACACACATCATCGAAATGGGTGCAAAATTTTCAACTAAGATTACACAGCAAAGAGCAATTGGGTCTCAGATTCTAAGTCGGTGGAATTACAAAACCAAACATTATGATTTATGAGCAAAAGGTAGAGCAAATGCAGAAAAAAAAATAGAATTGAGCGAGAAACATAAGGCATATATTATAACACAATAAAGACAAATAGCAATATGTAAGGTAGGAATGGAATGGACTAAATTATGACCTGTCAATATGAATTAAATTTTTATTATCCAATTCATCATTTAATAAGGTATAATTTAAAATAGGATTAAATTCAAACATTTTTTAAATGTCAATGATTCTAATAAAGTAAATTTTTTTTTTGAAAAATTCATCTGTGCTACTTTTATTGAGATAAAAAAACATAATTAAATCAAGAAATTAATCTTAAAGCAAGCAAACTTTAATAAAGAGAAATTTAATCAAGATGAACTTAAGGTGTTCATTTTATCATTTACACGTTAAATTTTTTTTTACTTAGTTCTTTTATGATTTACGTTATTATTTAATTATAATTATCACTCAATAATATTATAATGTTAAGTATTAATTCTCTTAAATTTATTATTTTTAATGATCATTCAAGATAATGAATCATGAAAAATATTAAATCTTGATAAGCATGTTAATCTAATATTTGGTTAAGAAACTTTAGATTTTAATTGAGTGTACAAAATTTTAAAACCAATTTGCATTACAAATCTGTAATTAAGAGATCTATGATCACCAATTATGCAATTAACTAAAATAATTGTATAATTTAGTTTAAAAAATTCATAAACAAAACTAAAGGAAATTAAGTATATTCTATCCACTATTACATCATTATCATTTTTAAATTAGGTAAAATTTAACTGATATAAACATTAGTTAAAGAATTTTTTATTAAAAATATTATTAATGTAAATTATATTGTAATTTTAATATATTTTTAACGTTACTTTTTATAAAATATGGTTTATAATTTTTAAAATTAGTATTACAATGATTAGCAAAACCTTTAAATGTACATTGTCTCTAATCTTAAATACAAGATCACTTGGAGAGTTTGTCATGATCCTTTTTAAAGACTTTTAAAGAGTTATTTTATTATTAATTATTTTCTTATAAAAATATATTTATTAACGACAAATAATTGAGTAAAAAAGTGACAATTGATCGTTATAATTTTAAGAGTAATTTAAAATATATCTAAATTGTTGGTAATGATACTTTTAAAATATTTTCTAAATTCTAAATAAATTTATAGTTATTAATAAATTTAATTATATTTTAAAAAAATTTGTAAAGTATTTTTTTTTCTTTTATTTATCTATATATATTAGTCGTGGAGATACAATAAACAAAACTTAGGTAGGTATTATAAAGTTGAGATTCATAGATTAAAAATTTATTCAAACCAAATTTTAATTGTAATTTAAAAAACATTAAAATACCTATAATTTTCTACCAAAATTTTTTCTTTTGACTATTTTTGTTTGCCTACTTATTTTGCAATAACTCTTATCAATTCATCAATACTCAACCAGAAGAAAGAAAAATCCCAAAAAATGTCTGGCTAAGTGTAGCTGTGTAAACTACTACTTTTATATCATAAGGTAAATTAGCACTAGTCTTTGATTGTTGCACTTAATTTGCTAGTAAAATTATTTACTTTTGAGTACATGAAGTTGCACTTTGTTTGAACAAGGTACCATTTCATTTATTAAACTGTTTTGTACACAGCTAGAAAAACTTTAGTTAGAAAAAGCGTATGCTCCTAGATACAAAATTGCATGTACATACACAGAAAACCAGGAAAAGAGAGGGTAACAAAAAAGTAAAATAAAAACCAGCCCAATTGCCCAAGTCATCCTAACTCAGTATTCTAATTCTTCTCTCCCTTTTTTTCTTCTTCTTCTTAACAAATAAAAACTTGCACATTATTGGAGGTAGTAAGGTCTATGAATTATTTAGTAGAATGATGTGTGAATCACAGTAACTCTTGTCCTTTACGGTTCTCAACTGTGCAGCTATGTCTTCAGCGATCTTTATAGCATCACAAGACGTTCCTTGAAGACCCCTTCTTGTGAAGCCCACTGCATACAATCCATGCTCCCCTTTCCAACCATGAGGAAAGGGTGTTTTGGGCATTCCATCTTCCGTGAAAAAATCACAGCCCTGAATTAAGGAACACAAAAACAAAATTAAGAATTAACTAACTTGATAATCAAATTAAGTATTCATTACTAATACTATGTCACATAGAGAATATTAACATAGGAGTTTTGTAATCTTATAATAGAATATTAAACTTGGTGCATGCTTTGTATTTTGGTTATAAATTTGGATTTTTCAGAAAATCACATAGCTGCATACCCTTTATACTCGGGGAAAAAAAGACAGAAGAAAAGTTAAATTGATTTTGTTTGATAATTTAATCTGAGGCAAAAGGAATTGACCGAAAGGTGGCGCAGTTTACTAACCAGGTTATTCGCACAGCACAAAGAATACTTTTACAAGTTGCTAACGAGACACTTTATGATAGTTACACATCATGAAATGTCACAATGAAAGCAGAGTTTTTAATATGGTGAATAATAATGAATATTTATAATAATTATGCACGTGTTAAAAAGAATACTAATCTTAACATTTAAGAGGATTATTATATTAAAAATATGCAAAATGATAGAAATCATCTTTAAATTCTTAAAATCAGTCCTAAAACTGAGTTAACAAAACCATTTTAGAACCCAAACTGATTTTATTATTTTTGCATGAAGAAAAGAAGACATTTGTAGGTTTCTGCTCTCTGCATGTGTCCCAAGCCTAGATAGTGACAAGTCATAAGTGCTTCATCATAATAAGATAGAGCTAAAAACGCAACAGAACAGATCAATTTTAACCTTGAGCCAAGTAGGCACGTTGCTCTTGTATCCTGTTGCCAAGATTATAGCATCGAATTCCTTTTCTTGTCCATCCATAAATTTAGCACCATTTCTCGTTATCTCCTTCACACCTTTCATCACCTGCACAACCCTAACCAATCTTAGCCTCAATAACTTTATTTGAAAAATGGGATTGTTTTAAAAAATATTTTTTCTAGTTTCCTAGACTATATAAGTTCAAGTAATTAATAATAATAAAATAAATTGTAAAAAAATTCTGAAATGTACCTTTATGTTACCGGATTTTATTTGTGCTAGTTGACCCACATCAAGGACAGGGGTTTTCCCAGTAGCAAGTTTGAGCTCGATTGGCCCAGTTTTAGGCCTTTTGATGCCATAGTGATTGGTGTTGCCCAGAATGAAGTTAGTCGCAAGCAAGAGGAACTTGTCTACTAATTTAATGGGAAGCCATTTATAAAGCGCCATAGCTATTCCAAACGTTGAGAAGCCAAGCATCTCCCTAGGAAGCACGTGTACCTTGCATCATTATATATTGCACCATAGTCAGCTAAAAGTTTTGATGATTAGTTACCCCAAATGGGAAAAAAATAAAAATATAAAACATAGATGACGTCCAGTCCAGTACTGAACAATGATTAACCAATAATAATACCATTTAACAAGAACACAAAAAATCCTTCTTTTCACTTTTAACTATTTTTTCAACCACCATGTCTTTACTATAATTTGTATAATGAATAACTGATTCTGAAATTATAAATTTGGTATCATTTTGTGTACATCAACCTTTTTATAATAAACATTGACATACCCATCATTTTAAACATATAAAAAGATGTTTATTGTAGTTTTATATTCTTTATATAAAAATATTATTTTTAATCGATTAAATTAACCCGGTATAAACACTTATCATTTTGTTACCAATGGAAGTGGGAATGAGGGAACTTACTGTATTTCTTGCAACCATGTGAGGGGTGGCATTGTATCTACAAAGGTCCAAGCTAACTTCCATGCCAGAATTACCACAACCAATGACCAAAACCTTTTGGTTTTTGTACTCAGAGCCAGACTTGTAGACACTAGTGTGAGCAATGGGTCGATGAAACAAGTCAATCCCAGGAATTCTAGGCACAAAAGGTTCAGCATTCTCACCAGTGGCCACCACAAGCCAGTGAGAAACATACCGAAAATCCTGAGTTCTTACCACCCAAAGATTAGAACTTGGGTCAAACTCAGCACTCTGAACGGTTTGGTTGAACCTTGGTTTAATGTTGAAGTGTGACGCATAGGATTCCATGTAGGAAATGAACTGGTACTTAGTTGGGTACTTTGGGAAAGTGTGAGGGAAACCCATTAAGGGAAGTTCACAGAAGTGTTTGGGAAGGTGTAGTTTGAGACGGTCATAGGTTCTGTTTTGCCACAGAGAAGCTATGCAATCACTTCTCTCAAGAATCACACAGGGCACTCCATGTTGTGTGAGACAAGCAGCCACGGCTAGTCCAGAGGGTCCACCACCTACAATGATAGGCCCATCAACACACTCGCACTTTTGTTGTTCTTTGGAAGAACCCATGTAAGAAAAGTAGTGAAAGCAAAGGGGTAAACGAGATACTAAATTAAAAGGTTTCTTGACTTTAAAGTGTGTACTCTCTGTTGTGGGAATTTAAAGGGGTAGGGAGTGGTGTCAGCGGTGGACTTTGGACTCAACTTTAACACACAGATTTTTTGAGCCGAGAGAGGATATGGGGTTGTGGAGAGGAGTGGGTGGGTGGTGGTTTTTATTGAGGCGTGAAGGTTAAGGAAAGGATTTGATTCTTTTTCTCAAGGTTGTTCTCAGCAGAGCCAGAGAGAGATATATGAGAAGCAATGGCCAAAATGCCTGATATATAAATACATTTTTTATGTGCTGCACCATGCATCTCATTCTATCTATTAATACATTTTTGTAACCATTTTGTTTTTTCAGTTTAAATTTATATAGTAAGAGTGAAAGTTATTAAATTAGAAATACAATTTATGTTTTTTTAAATTAATCAATAATAAAAATTTGTGTAAGAGAGCATGTTTTCAAATTTTTTATTTGATTTTATCTTATTACTGACTCGCAGGCCCTTACACACATTACCCAGCTTTTTTTTTTGTTTCTTGACTTTGTCACGCTTTCAAAAGTACTCTGTAGATTCTGTGGCCCCCTTTTGTTAAAAAACCATACTAAGAGAGAGTGCATTAATGAAGTTATATTTATTTTAACATTATCAATTGTAACTTCTGTTTATAGGAATTTTAATGTGGTTTTAAACGTACATGAATTCTTTGATTAGTGTCCTGAAAATAATAGTTGACATATATAAAAAGAGTAATGTTTTTGTTGTGGTGAGGTAAAATTGTTGACTAAAGTGGTAAAGGTAGAAATAGTATTGCAGTGTTAAAATAAGGATTTTGGGTTTGTAAGGTTTTGCGATTTATGTGAGTGTTTCCAAAAGTTGGAGGGTGGAAAGGGGGACACTGAAGGGTCGGAATTGGCACAATACGAAAGAGAGGAGTGGTGGGGTCGAAGTGGAAATGCAGAGAAAGAGAAAGAAGAAGCGGTGGGGATGGATATGGTATTAAGTACGCCACATAGAAAGAAAGTTGCTGCATGATGGGAAACAGCGTGGAGACTTTCTTTGTGCGACAAACGTCCACTTTCTTCAATTTTTTACGATTTCAACAAAAAGTGTTAACTAATATCATTAACATATTGCTTAAAAAATAAAATAAAAGATATTTTTAATACACAACCTAATTCAAAATAATTAAAATTTTAATTCAAAGTGTTTTTTAATAACATGTAAAAATCTAAGGCAATTTGTTGTATACAGTGGCTTCGTAACTTGCGCATATTAGAAACGTTATGACACGGCCCACGCTGTCTTGCTAGCCGGCTCTGCCCTTTTGCAGAAATAAATTAAATAAAATTTTGCGTTAAATACAAATTCGTGTAAATATTTATTTATTTATTTATTGGTTGCATCATTTTTTTTTTTAAATTTTAGCTAAGTGTTGAAATTTAAATTAAAATGATACTTCCATAAGAGAATGTGTTCTAGAATGGATTACCTAAAATGAGTACTTAAAGATAAATTTAAACAATTCAAAGTGGTGTAAAATTAAAGTACTAAATACATTATTATTAGAAGTATTCAAAGTATATTTTAATTTAAAGGGCTGAAATAGATCATTTAAAGTTGTTTGAAAAACTTGATGAAACTTACAGAAATGTACAAATACCTACATTATAAAATTCTGAAAGATCCTTATGATGTGAATTAAGGATAAGAGAAATTTATGTACTGTGTTTGAATAAGTCAAAATCAAACAGTGATTCCAAGATATTGAAGTTAAAAGTGGCCAAATTTAAAGATTCAAGCTTAAAAACCATGCAACACATGAAAAATATTCAGAATAAGGTTTGAAAAATCATTTTGCACTTCATAATTTTAATATTATTTTATTATGTGTCATGATTTTATGTAAGAAGTAATGAAACTACATTTGTATATACCAGTTGTGTATAGTTGTTGGTAATGTCAACTATATATATTAGATCACATATTGTGATAATCAGAGCGAATTTGTTCTAAATATTTTATTTGAAGGAAAATTTGCCCATAAACACGTGTATGAGGTAGCTTGATTCTAGTTACAAATTGGATAGAAGCGACAATAGTAGTCTTTTATATTGTTAAAGTTTTATGGACAAAATTATAATAAAAGTTGTAGAAGCTATTCCTTTGTATATTGTATTAATGACACGTTAAGAAGAAGCTTTTAGAGCTAAAATCCAAAGAGAGATTCTAGTTTTCTTTAAAAGATTCAAAAACAACAAAGTCCCTCACGACAAAAAGAAAGGAAAAAGTTGGCTTTTAATTATTTGTTTCCTCGTAAACGTTAAATGTACGGTAAAAAGAAAGATAAAGATTTATTCTATGTTTGGATTATTTTGATTTCAATTAGCAAAAAGTTTCAATTGAAACTCCTTAAATTAATATTTTAAATTTAAACCTCATGTGCTTGTTTGGACTTCTGTCTTCTTTGCGTTGACTTGTTTACGAATTTGGAATTGTAATTTTAATTAATTCCGTAAAAAATGAAATTGATATAGAACAATTTAACCATAAATATAATTTTATTACTTTAAAACATTGTAAATAATATTAATGATAATAGAGTGTTTAAACGAGAAGATAAAAATAATTTATGATGACAATGACAATATTAGTATTAGTAATAATAATAATATCTATAATAGTAATAATGATAACAATAAGAAAAGTGAAAATGGCACTATATAATATAAGATGGGATAATAATTATCGTTGAAAAAAATACATACTTAACTATAAATTTTTTTTTTTCAAACATCGTTATAACTCTACCAAATATTTAATTTTAAAATGTAATCTTATGCTTAATCTCGTACCCCAAATGTTGATCTATTCTCATGTGACTTTAATATAAGTATAAATTCATTGAATTAGCTTAATGGTTAATGGAGTACACTTTCGTCTTTAAGTCTTTTAACTACTTTAATTCGAATATCGCAGCGAAGACATACAAGATTATTATTTTTTGTTTTATGCACAAGACTAATAATGTATGGGAAGATCTTTAAGATTATCCGGTGAGAATTTGTATTTATTGTTAACATAATGCTCTTTCCATTTCAAAATAACTTCTCGTGTTAAAAGTGTACATCTTTAATTTTACCCCGATACTTTAAAATATAACTACCACTTTTACAATTTCATTCTTTTTTTTTTGTTTTTAACTAAATAGAAAGAAAAAATTGTTAATCAAAGATAATATTCTAATTCTTTAAATAAATATAATTAATCAAATAAAACACGATTATATTTTCATAAAATTAAGTTCAAGTTTCAATTATATTTAATAATATTTTTAACAAAGAAAGTTAAGACAATCTAATAAATGATATTTTGAAGTGGAAGTAGCATCGATACCATGTTACTAGGAAGGGAAACAAATCAAATTATTCACTTAGAGGCTATGACTTTTAATTTAATTTTTTTTAAAAGATCTAATTAATTAAATAGGTTAAACTTAAATTTTAAAAAAATATTAAGACTAATAGAATGACTTATTTAAAATTCATAAAATTTATAATAATATATTAAATAATTTTATATAAAAAATTATAAAATATTTATATTATATAAAATAAAATTTAAAATAAATAAAATTTTGAATTAAGAATCCTAATTTTTTTTATTAGAGTTTGAGAACTCTTGCTACATATTCTTTGACAAAGAGAAAGTGTCACTTTTAGAATCTTTTGTATTGCTATTATTTGATTTGCCTTGTATGCATAATATTAATATGCATTTGTGTTTGTTGTATATTTAGTGATTTATTTGTTTAAATTAAATATGTAGTTTAAAAGTGATAAATAAAAATACATAATTTTATTATAAATATTTATAATATTAAACTATTTTTTATAGCTTATTTAAATATGATTATTATAGTCATATCTATTAAGATGATTTAATAGCCTGTTTATAAAAAAAATTAATAACTTATTAAAAATTTCAATATAAAGTAGGTCATTAAAAAAATAATAAATTAAATTAAAATTATAAAAAAGTTAGTCAAATTTAATACAATACATATAACAAATAATATGCTAGAATTAGACAAAATTATTAAATAAGTTAAATCCATTTATATAAAATTTAACCTAACTTATTTTTATCATTACATGTCATTCAAGTCACAAATATATTAATAACATATTAGCCCATGATTTTTAACATATTGAAAAACTCAAAATTACATAAACTAGTCGGAAGCCTGATATTTAAAAGAAAAATGCAACTTTTTTTTTTCCATACGTGTTATTCAGTAAGGTTAATTTAATAAACTAAGTCATTTCTTGAATCTATAACATTCATTTACATAATATCTTATTAATAAAAACTAATTATTAATATTTTTTGTCATAAATAAAAAAATAAAAACATTTTCATATTTAATATACAAAAAGCAGATCGGTTTCGATGATATGGACCTATTTACACTGCATCCAAAGCGGGGATGATGGTACATACATAACCAACAAAATTTTCTTAAATTATTCCCATTAAAGCATTTTATTAACAATTCTCATCTTACGTGTCCTTTTAATTTGTTGGTTCTGTATCACAGGAATCCATTATCCCTTATTTTCAACCAAAATAAAAGATTCTTGCACTATTTTAATTCTCCAATCCTTCACCCAACTATGTTGTAACGCGTGTTTGTTTTAGATGCGAAGGCACATATCATCAAGGCCGGTTTTGTTCTATCCTTTGGCGTCAATCATCTATTAAGCTATGAAATGTGTTGAAAATAACTCAAATCATAGTAACCCTCCTTTATTTTCTTGTCATTGTCAAAAACAACATACGAACAAAACAAGCACAAAGCTTAAGGTTTATATACTCTAAAGTGAAAAGAAAAAGACGGACATAGACACATATAGATTTAGAACCTAAGGTCCTATATAGTTTGGATGCACATAGTCTATGGCAG